CAGGAACTTGTCCATGGCCAACTCTGTCACCACTGGCTCACACTGGGGGGTTTTGCAGGGTGCTACACAAGAGACACATGGGACTGACTCATGTTCATGTTTGTCAGCATAAATGACCTTTCCAGGACACATTGGTTGGAAGTTTGCTGAGAATATAGGTTAGCTTTGGGTTCCCTGGTCTCTTGGAGTTCTCTTACAGGATATTTAAGGATGCAATGAGGGAGAAAAGGAATGCTGCTTCTCAGTGAGTCAGAAAAGGCTTTATTTTGATGGGCCCACAAAATGAGATTTCTCTCTAATCCTCTGTGTAATTCATTGGCGTAATCTCTCTGTAGGCACATCATATTAATCCTTGTTATTACAGAGAGGACCTCAAACATGGAAAGTTTCAAAACATGCCACTGAATGGAAAAGGCCAAGATGTTGGGTCTCCCTACTCTTTATACTACAATTAAGATTTACATCATTTATGCCTTAGTAGTTCACTGGAAATAGTCCTTAAAGTATAGTATGCACAGGGAAAAAAAAAAAAGACAGGGGGAAAAGGAATAAAAATGAGAGAAAGCATTTGAATTGAGAAACATGCTGTGTGATGTTGGGATTTTTCTCCTGTGTGGAAATGAACAGCAAAAGTTTGGTGAAAGGGTCTTGATGTCAGTGAAACTCAGAGATTGAAGCCTAGTTTATAGTTGTTTATGATTCCCTTTATATCCATGGGTTCTGTCACTGCAGAACAGACCCACAAGAGAAAATAACCTATAAAACCACAATGTAAATAGATTTCTCTTGCACAATATTCTGTGGCCACAGGTTTTAGATTGCCAACCTTGGCTTAGGATTTGCAGAGAGTAAATGTGCCTTTATTGTTGTATGGGCATGGCTTATAATCAAACTCCCCTCTATATTAATAAGTGATTACATCCAGAGCAGTATTCCATCCTCCTGCTTAGGATTTTTTTCCTGATGGACTGGAAAAGGAAATTTTTAACTTCACTGGAAATTTTTTTCTCCTGCCTGAAATGGGAGCTGGGATAGCCACTTCCCCCATGATGGCATGCTCCTCCCTTCTACACTTTACTCCTTTGCAAAAACCAACACACAAACCCTGGGCAGATTGGAGAACACAAATTACATGTCCTTGCTAAACCATCTCTGTCCATACCCATAAAGTTATTTAAGCATCAGAGTAACACTGCTCCATATCCTTGAGGATCTGGGTCAGAGATTTATTAGAAAATGTTATCTTCACTTTGAAGTCCAGCTTTAGTACAAATCTGCTTGCTTCCTGCTGCTCCTTCTCTTCCTGTTTATTCATACCAGAAACCTTTTTGTGAGTGAAAGAAACAGAAATAGGTTACTTGGTATCTCAGTCCCTTAACCATGAATTTTTGGGCCACTCTTTATCCTGGGAAAAAATATTTTTTCAGGGATGGCACACCTATGTTAAGACACCAAAAATCACTGACAGAAAATGAAGGGATTATAAGTGAGACTTCTAAAATGAAGGTGTTTTTCTGTTCAACACAAACCTAATAGGGTGTTGTGGTTCTGCTGTGCCTTGCTAAAGGATGGTTGCAAACCTATGGTGTCCTGTGAGTCATGGCTGGTGGAATTCCTTTTCAGGATGAAATACATTAAACAATATCACTGTCTGTAACTAGTAGGGACCAGCCATTTGATGTTATACTATTAAGCTTGCAATTCCATAATCTTCATAAAAATGGAAGACTGTTCTGGGTGCTGCTTCTTGGGGAAATTTTGCTTTTCCTTGGACAAAGTATTTATTTTTCCTTTTCAACAAATAACAAATAATAGTGGAATTGTAAAGGGTGAAACAGAAACCAGTAGTTCGTGGAATCACAGGATCATTTAAGCTGGAAAAGACCTCAAAGACCATTGGGTCCAACTTTGAGCCATCACCCCCTTGTGTCATGTTAAAAGGGGGTATTTCCTCGATCCTTGGTGTTTAATTTGTCTGTCAGTGCCCAGGAAAGCTGAGACCCTTTGTGCCTGACCAGTCCAGTCCCATTTTGGGGACCTTTTTCCCTGAATAGTCCTGCTGGATCAGAGGGTGCTTGGACTGAATTATTCAGGGACGCACACCAAGAGCATCCCCTTCAGCAGGTGCTGTGGATGCACTTTGTGGCTGTGGGAATCATTGTGGAAGAGCTTTTGAGCATTCCAACAACATTCCATGCAGGAAGCAGCAGCTCTATATTTTACCCTACAATTTCTGTACTGTTTCAGGCTGTGTGAGGATGTGAGCAGAGCTTTTCAGCTTCCTCTGACTTTACCTCCTGCCACCTTTTCACACCTCATCAACCAGCCCAGAGCACTGAGTGCCATCTCCAGTTGTTCCTTGAGCATCTTCAGGGATGGGGACCCAAACACCTCCCGGGGCAGCCCCTGCCAGTCCTTGACAATCTTTTCAGTGAAGAAATTCCTCCTGATGTCCAACCTGAACCTCCCCTGGCACAACTTGAGGCCGTGTCCTCTTGTCCTGTGCTGGTTATAAGGATCTCAGGGCTCCTGTGTCATTTATGTGCTGGAATTATTTTCTGCCAGTCATGGTGACAGTGGCCAGGGTTGCCTCTTACCCAAATGCTTGGTGGCATTTACATTTCCAGATCCTGTTGACAGGACTCTCACACTGAAGCCCTTTCAGGGCAGCCAGGGAATGCTACCAGCCTTACTGGTTGGTCACTCCCACAGGAATTCTGGACAGTCTCTTGGGACAAAAAAAATTGCAAAGAAAAGGAGTAAATAAAAAGAAGTAACAAGTATTTTCACAGCTATTTCTATTTTAAGGTAATACTCAAGAATATTTCCTCTTCCCTTTTCCCACATGTCAGGGCTTTGTCCCAGTCTCCTGAGAATCAGAAATTAAAGTGGGAGGAATTACAAAGAGTCCAGGTGGAACATAATATTATTATTTAATACTTCTACTACTACTACTACTTATTGTTATTATTAGCACCATCATTATTATATTTTTGTCATTATTTTACATAGTTCCAATAATTTTTCTGATTCCTGTATTTAAAAGGATATTGTTTAATCAGAAGCTGTCAGGCTTTCATTATAATAGCAATATTTGCTCTACAAAGCTATGTAAATAACATACTCGTGTTCTAATCTAGTGTTTCCACATCCCATCTATTTGCAGTATTCTTAAGAATCTTGTAAGAGCTGTTTAAACTGCCTCTGGTCTCCTCTGCAGAAAAACCACATTTGGCTGGATTTCTGCTGCAGTGGAAGCCAGCCTGGCCACCTTCTCTTTGTTTAGAGATGGGAACTGTATCTACCTGTTTATTTTTGCTTCACAATGGTAGGTTAAGAAATAATCACACGTAATTTCGTGCTTTTTCCTCCGCGGCCAAGACTTGCCCAGAGTTTGAATAGAGAGGGCAGAGCTGCTAATAGAAATAGACTCAGACAGGAATGCCTGCTGTGGTTGGAATCAGACAGGGAAGAGCCTGAATTTGTTCAAGTGGCAAACAAGAAGATAAGTCTTCATAGCAGATTCTAAGAAAAGTGCACACGACCAGACTCCACATACCCAATTGTTGCCACCTTTTAAGCACATGCAGTCGGGGCAAATCTTGCAGTCTTCACACAGAGAAAATCCCCACTAGAATTAACAGGAATTTGTGTGAACAAGGATTGAATAAGTGCGGACTCACAGCCCAGACCAACAAGTCTTTTCTCATGACAGCATCCAATTAAAATTAATGAAGTAACTTGTTCAAGGATCACCCAGGGAAATGATGGGAGAGGCAGGGGTAGAACACAGATTACATGAGTCACTGCCAAGTTCCCTGATGTTAAAAAGTCAAAAATACTTAGAAGACAGAAATGCTGAAGAACAGTGAGAAATGAGAACCATTAGTTGAAGTGGCTCCCAGGCAATCTGTCTGGGGTGATCAATTTACATATTTATCCCTACCAAGATATAAACCCTGCAATATTTCTCACATCTCTACCATCTAATTGGGTATTATGGTCAAAATGTGAGACTATCTTATCTATTGTAAAGGGAAATAATTATGTTTTAACATCCCCGGTGGACTTCATCTCTATTTTCTTCAACTACCCAAATTTCAGCTCACACTTGACTTTTCAGAGCAACACAGACATTTCAAATGCAGCTGGCTGTGGTTGATTTTGCCCCTTACCCAGCTCAAACCAGAAAATGATATTCTGTCTGTGACCACCCCTCCTCCTTTCTCTAGCTCACCCTCTTCACTGGAAGCAGCTGAAGAGAGGTAACATCCCTTTGCAGGCTGGCTGAGAAAGCAGCTCTTAAATAAATTTATCATCACCTGTTATGTTAGATTGGCATGAGGGGAACGGGAAGGGTGTAAGCATTTGGCCTGGTCCTTATAAAATAAACAAGTTTTCTTGCTTGTCTTGCAAGTGCCACATGGGAGTCAGTAGAAAAGGGAAGAGTTTCAGAAATCTAATTTGCTTTTCATTGTGTATGCTGTTTGATTACCTTGTACTGTTCTTTCAGTTTGCAATAAAAACAGTGACTTCCCAGTCATTTTCACTTTAGGTCTCTCTCTGGCATCTCATGCACCAATATAACATTTGAATTGCAAATACTGGAAGAATTTATTAAAGATAGTCGCTTCCTCTGGATTTTATGTGTATATGTGTCTATATCTTCCTAATGTTTTCAGTTGCTGTGAGGGCTTATTCTGTTTTTCAGGTGCCTTTTTACTAGCTCTGTGTCCATGAGTGAGGAAGAAAGGAGGGAGCAGTACATTTAATGTACTTCCCTGGAAAACTGTTCAATCACAGTTTTTGAAAGAAACATCTGAATATTGTGCAAGAGCTCCGGTGTGTTCTCAAAGAGAGTTCCCCTTGACTGGGCACTCAAAGCAACCCTGTCTGACACCCATGCGATTTAAATTATTAAGTGAATTCAAGAGGAAGATCCTATAATGAAATTGCATCCTCTCCTATTTTTCCAGCTGCCTGCCTTTCTCCCAGCGTGCCTAACTCAAAATGAGGAGATTGCCTGCTGTGGTCCATTACACTCCAGAAAGAACAAGAAAGAGTGTCTGAATGAAAAGTATAAACCATGTCAACACAAGTCTACAAACCCCATCCGAGTCCCTGAAACCCAGAGTGTGCAATATCCTTTCTCCAGCTTCCAGCTACTCATGGGAATGGTACAAAAGGAGCAACAGCCACAACAAAAACCTCCCCAACATGCAGAGAACAAATTCACACTGATAAAAGTGAAAAATGGGTAAGTCCCACATGGGAAAAACAGTTTTCCCAAGCTTCTTCCAGGGAGAGTGTGAAGCATTTTCCCATTGGTGCAAGCACTGTTAAAATTTCTGGAAAAGGAACAAAGGCCACATTGGGATTTCAGTCCCTTGAGCTGAAGTTGAAGGACCCTAGATGGCTGCACAGGTGCTAAAGATGGAAAAGGTACCCTTGAATCATTTTGAAACATCATATGAAAGAAATAAGACCTAACAGTCTTAGCTTTATGCTCAGCTTTATGACCAGCATTTCAAAACAACCTGATACCAACGTAAGTAACTAGAATAATGTCCTTTAATTGCTTTCCATTTCTGCATTTTCCCTCTACTCCTTTGACAAAAAAGGAGGTTCCAGCTACTTTTTTCCCCTAAGTTAATTGATGGAATATTGGTATCTTATGTTTGGTGAGCTTGAAACTTAAGAAGGAAGGCATCAAGAAACCAGATTTTGTCTTTGTCTGTCTGGATCTGTGTGTCTGAGTGACACAACGTGACCAGAGCTGCAGACTAAAGTGAGCAGATTATTCTGCTGTCATAAAGTCAATGCATGCAGCACGTCACATTGCCACTTTTGATTGCATCTGGCTGTATTTAGGGGATGTGGCATGACAGTGCACGGATCATGAAGCCAAACCAAATATCAGGTTCCTCCATTTCCTGACAAGTGGAATCTGAGCAGTAGGATTCCCCCATTCTCCCCCTCCCTCACTGCATTCATAATCTGAAATCAGTATTCTGATTTCAGACTAAATTATGATAGATATTTTAATTTTGAGGTTTCCAGATTGAATGTAGTCATTAACAGGATTTTTTTTTGTTCTTTGTCTCCCCTAAATGATGTTCCTGTTTTCCCTTCATGATAAGTTCCCCTAACTACATTTTCAATAACACCAGAAAGAAGGAGGTTTCTATCCTGTATTACAGAATGTATTTTTCAGGTTCATTTCTTTCATTGTTATAGAAGATACACATACAAAGCTGTTTCAGAGCAGCACCAGCTGAAATACTATTTGAGTATGGAAAGATTAAATTACTAATGTAGAAGCAGCAGGAAGACCTAGAGCCTATACAAAATCATTATTTTTTACAAGTCATACTCATAGTTCTGTGAGTCTGGTGTTTATCTCTAGGAGAGACTTGACACCATGTGCTTCATCTAGAGGCAAATCTTGTTACTGATCTCATTCCTTTTGCTCTTGGCAGTAGCTTAAATTGGCATTACAATGAAAACTCAGATGGGAATTCATCAAAAAGCCATGGCTAGTGCTGGACCTTTCCTTCTCTGAAGAACATCCGTGTTGTTCATGCTAAATTCAAGTTTATAATTCACTTGGACTACCCAGAGCAAAAAGCTGCAGCGGTGTCCAATTCCTTCCTTCATCAGGAAAAAAAATAGCTGCTTTGCCAAATTGTCAAACCTGGTACAGACTGGGAGAAAAGTATTGGCAGGCAAACAGAAACCTCAGTGGCAGTCAAAGGAGAGGGAACAGAGAAATGTGGGGGTTTTGAGACCACCAGGTGGGCAGGCAGTATTTCAAATAATTCAATTTTTGTTGTCCCACATTGCACCGCTCGGCGAGGGGAGAGAGGGACAGTGGTAGGCTGGGTTGGTGATGCTCCAGTGTGCAAGGAGTGACTTTCCTCCTCTTGCAGAGGCAAAATAACCTCATTGCCTTTCATTTATGTAAGATGCAGGTGCACAGCTGCTCAGACTCTGTCAGCAACAGGATGGTTTATGAGAGAGCATCTTTGGTGTGTCATTGTCACGGCACAAGGGACATTATTACCTTAAGGCACACAAAATGAGGTCTTTGTTCTTGCCTAGGAAATCAGAAAAGTGTCCTGGGAGAATCATCCCTCTGGCCTTCCTCCCTTCTCTACAACTTTCCTGCAGTTTCTGCTGAGCAGCATTCAGTCCTGTCTCCTACCTGAGGATCAGTGCGAGCCATTGAAATGTGTGGGATCTTTTTGGCAGTAGAAATGGTTCACTTTTAGGCAAAAAAATGACCCGAGTCTGCTAAATTTGCCTCTATGACCTGAAACACCAGGCACTGTCAAAAATAATTAATGACTCAGAAAGAGAAGTACTAAATAAAATAGGAATGTGAAAATATCCTGGTATTACCACATTGTCTTTTATAAGGAACATGATACCATGATAAATGATAATCCAATTAATCTTTGATACAGAAGAAAAAAAGAAAGTTGAAATCATCCACTGAGTCAAAAATCTAGACAGTAACACAGTTCCTTTTACATCCTGAGACACTCTGTTGTTTATTTGAGAAAATTGACTCTGTTCTTGACATTTGCTCTTATATTCATGGCACTAAAGCTCTGGAAATCTGGAGAGACAGTTTCTTAGTTGTTTGGCTTATGAAAAAAATTACATGGACATCCAGCCAGCTGTACAGTCCAACCAAGAAACAATGCCAAATTTATTGCTAATTGCCTGTTCTAAGCCAGATGAGCTCAATATCTGCTACCTGACATTTTCACTGGGATAAAGTCAACTTTTTTTTCTTTTTTTTTCCAGTAGCACAGGTTGTAAATGGAATAATTCAGAATTACTGAATATTTTAGTTGACCAGAAGAGAAGTGCTATCTTTAATTCTTTAATCCCCTCTGTTAAAAAAAAAAAAAAAAGGTTGGCAACTTCACGCTGATTTTGAAGGCAAAAGTTGAAATATCTTGTTTGAGTTTAGCATATTTATATTTATAACATCATTTCCATTTTTAAACCATCAGCCAAATCAGTGAAGAACTCTGATTGTCCAACATTTTTGGTATATAAATAATTAGTAAAATTTATGAGCCTGATTCACTCCACTCTAGATATAGTTTGTCACAATTTTATAAGATCATTCTTTGTTTAGAAATATGGCTGACTTTCATCTGTTTGTAAAGCCCTGGTGCAGATCTAACCTTGAATTACATAAGCAACTGATTAATAGTCACTAATATTTCCACAACTGCTGCTACAGTACCTCCCCACTGATATGAGGCTCCCACTGGAATAAATTTTGGGCACATAAAGCTAATCTCCCTGTTTAGAATCCCTCAAAATAAGAGTGCTTTAAAAAGATGAGAGTAAAAGAAGAAAACACCAAACCCTGCTTTGTCAGAAGTTTAGTGCTGAAACAAAGGCAGAGCGAATTATTTTCTCACATTTTGCAAGAAATCTATGTAAAAAGATCAGAAACTGAACCAGCTCCTCCCAAAGGTCTCTGCAGTGCCTTTCTAACAGGAAAATCCTTCCTGGTAAGGAAAGGCAAACCTCTTTTATTCCATCCTGTCCCAGCTCCCAGGGTATGAAATCTGCTGAGCCAAGGGTCACCCCTGTCCCCATGGGTGCTGATTTTGGAGGCTGCTGCAGGACAAGGACAACACAGCCCAAATGAAACAGCACGTTGAGGAAAGAGTTCATGATTTAAACACTGCTGGTACCTCCCCGGAGTGCTTAAATTGCAGCTGAAATCTGGAGTGTATAGCAATGACACATCATTATTTTTATAAATAATGGCAGGCTCAGAAGCATATGAGGATCTGAGTTATAATATTCTGATGAAAGGGTCTGTATTTATATTCTCATAAAAAAGAGAAATCTCTTTGGAAGGCATTTATCATAATAAGTTGGTTTTTTTTTTTTTTTTCTTTCCTGTTTGTAATGTTATGTTCTTTGGGAGATTTCAAGTATTGATGCACTATAAAATTTCCAGGAAGAAAGTCACCAAGGGAGAAAAATATATTTTCAGAAAGAGAAATTACATGGAAATATGAGAGAAAGATAATTTATTTTTCTTCTAGCTGTCATGCAAATAGAATGAATATCATTGTTTTTAAGAATATTTATTTGATGAAAGTAATCCAGCTGTTTACCAGGAAAGAAAAAGTGAGAGATCATGAGGAAAAAAGAAAGGGAAGGAGATTTAGTTAAACTTTTACCTTTCATTTTAATTAACAAGAAAATAATCTGGTAAGATAATGGTCTTTGAATTGCAGGTCTAAGGACTGTGCCCCACTCCCTCCAAAAGGTAGCTGAAATTTCTGCTGTCTGTAAAGACTGTGTGTAAATAAGTTTTAACTACAACATATTTCTCTCTTCCTTAAGCAAGCTTTTACTCTTTACACTAACTTTTGCTCTCTATTTATGGTCTCTGCTTGATGATAATGAGCTGAGCCATATCACATACAGAGTGACACAGAGAAAGTGTGTGAAAAGCTGTTTCAAGGAGGCAGATACTGCTCTTTTAGGCAGCATCTCATGCCTTATGCAGCAACTTGCTCATGCACCTCCCTAACAGAACCAGACCTGCAGCATGAGACCCATTTCACTCACCAAGAGACTTTTCCCAGGAAGAAGCAGGAGTCTGGTCTGGTTAATTAATATTTGACACTACTGATCAATTTTACTTCCAGTATTTTCAGTGCTTTGTGCAAAGTTCTGTACTCATTGAGTATTACAATAGCAGTAGAACCTTAGGAAATGCTCCAGAACAGCCAGGGTCTGAAAGAGTTTTTTGAAGATCCTTGGAGCTTCTGGTAAAACCCCCGATTTTGGCCATTCTAAAACAGAAATATGTGACCAGCAGTATTTGTAGGAAGACCTGTGCTGGTTGGTATTTTGTGACCATCTCAAGAGAAAGGGACAATAATGCTGAAGAAACAGGGATGAGCCTCAGTGTGGACATTTGAGGATGCTCAGACAGGAATATTCTCATCTGTGAAATGATACTTGAAACTTCCAAACAAAGGAAGCATGAAAGCCTCACTCAGAAAAATCCCTTTTGGATAAACCCCCTCTGAAAACATGAAGTATATATGAATCATGCCTCCATCAAATGAAAGCTGAACTGTAAAATCTTGAGAGACGACATTTAACTCTCACACTGTTTGTGTAGACACTGCCAAAACTGAAGACTCAAACCTGCTCTTACTCATCTAATGAAATTCTTGAGGAGAAAACTAAAAATCATAGCAATGTTTTGTAGAGTTTTGCTGCCTGTGGTAGAATAATTTTTTGTAAGTTCTTGCGTGCTTCCAGAAGGAAAGCTGAGATAACCATAGCAGTACTCTGTATTACAAATAAGAATTGTTAAGTGCTCATTTTTAAGAATCCCATTCCATTAGATTTCTTACAGAAAACATCATTTATGCATCTGCACTTTTTTTTCCCTAGGAAAGTGCAAAATTAAGTCATCATGACAACATTTCATTGTATGCAAAATTAGCTCAATTACTAAATCAGACAAGAATTCCAATAGAAACAGATATAACAATAGTTTGGCAAATAAAATCCTGATGGTTCCTTCTTCCCCTACTTAGAAAATGAAGATTGGCTACATGTTGTGGCAGGTCTTGCACTGTGGGCTGTAGAGTGCAAAATTGTGGATTTAAAGAGGAATTAAATATCTCCATTCTGCCTATTAAACTTGCTCTGTTTCAACCCTGATAATATTCTTTGTATATGAAAAGTATCTGGAAATGGAGGATCCCAAGCATCTATCCTTCATTTTTATTTATCACAGATTTTGATTTTACACAGATTTTGATTTTATATGGTTTCTTTGTATTAGAAATTAGAAAGAGCTGATAACTTCCAGGACAAATGAGAATAATAAATCTCTGAAAAGATAGAAAGTACAAGGGTAGTAAATTCTTTTCCTACCTAACTTGAGGCCCTGACAAGCTAGACATTTAGCTGATGTGCTTAAATTAGAAACAAGGTCAGGTTAGGTTTCCCACATAGTTAATTCATGTTTCCTGAGGGAGGTGCAGCCCTCCTCAGAAATGAATCACCCACTGGAGGTTCACTGACTGCAAGGGCACCCTCCTAGTGACCTCGATCCAGCTATAGATTCTTCAGCCAGGTACTTGAAATTAGTTTAAAGGGATCCAGGATTCTCTAGGTAGATAGACAAGTTTAGATTAAAGAGGAAAAAAAAAGGCAAGATGAAATGGGAGGTCATGCTGCGTTTAAAGAACCCAAGCACACTTGGTGTTTGAAGTCTTGATAAGAAGAAAAAGCAGGCACCTCAAAGAAGAACTTTGGTCCCTCATTCTTTGTGTCCCATTTTGGCCTCTGACCTTCCATTCTAGAAGAGAACCCAAGCCAAAAGTAAAACCCCCCACCCTCCAGCTCTGGTTAGGGTGGTTCCTTGCTCAGGAATCTAAGTGCACTTCTCCTGGGTCAGACCAAAGGTCTTCAACAACAGCCAGAATTACCTCCCTGTGCTGGAGCACAAGTTTGGAAAATTCTGCAATATTCTCCCAATGTCTGACAGTCTGTGCCTCGTGAGCATCCCTTGTAGTTAACAACCTGCAGCTGTATTTCTCTTGCACTGGTTTTCCAAATGCCCTCTTTAAACTCTGTCCACCCTTGTCACCCAGGCTTTCCTGGGCAGAGGAGCTGCACTGCTGAGCTGCACATTCAGCCTTCCCTTTGCCCCTTCTGATTTTGTGGTGTTTTCTGTCCCTGATCCTTCTGCCATCAGCACCAAGAAGCCTTGATGGCCCTTCCCTACTTCAAAACTGCTGAAGGGTGCAGAGGTAACTCTTTGGTGCAAGCTCTGGAGCGACTGAAAGGCTTTGGGAATGGTGCCACATTTTTCTCTCTTTCCAGGCTCAAGAGGACACAATTGCCTGGCTCGGAGGGAGGAGCTGCTAAAACACAAAAGGCTCATAAACACCAGTACCGGGGAAGAATGACATGGAAGGGAGAACACTGATGATGGATTAAGGACAAGATCTTTGTAAGTAGCTGAAAATTTCAATTTGTTTTTGATTTGTTAAATACAACATACTGGAGAACTTCAAGAGAGGTCATTCTGTGACTGCCAAAGTTCCTGAAAGGGCAGATAAAGGCAGCCTCTCAAACTACACCTCTCCCCACTGCACGAGGAAGTTTTTACCCCATTTGATAAAAATAGAAATAGTTTTGGTGAGTTACTGTCTTCTAAACCAGCAGTGAACTGTAAACCTCCAGAACTGATTGGAACATTTTTCAAATTCCCCTTAAAAAAAACAGAGAACGCAGTTAGTCTGTGTTAAAAAAAGAAATTATGTTAGGGAACACAGTGTATTAAGACAATTATTTTTAAAAATTTAGGCACAAGACAAGCAAGAAAACAGCTCAGATTTTCCAGGAGATATGCTAAGCAGGAAAGACTGTGTTTCTCAATGAACTTTTCAGCCCAGCTGCAATTCCAGCTCAAAGTGCATCCTTTGCAGAAACCAGAAAAAAAATCTTTAAATATTTGTACAGGTTTGTTTGATTTTGTTTCCCACCAAGCTCCTTTTAGTTGTTACAGTTGCCTACTCTACTTGTATATAAATGCTTAACCAGTGGCCGTGACTAACTCATCTAAAAACCTTCCCCCCTCCAAACACACACTTCATCCATCTCCTGGAATGGGTACAGCAAGTTGGGATGTGAAATGGTGCAGCAGGAGAGAAAAGGCAAATTCCTCAGGGTTTTTCCTGAGGGAATGGGATCGTGGCCAGAAGGATGCTTTGACACGCTGTTATCGGGTTTCAGGTTCCTGCAGCCCTGGCAGGGAGTTAATGACATGTTGGCAGGCACACCTAAGCGGGCAGATCAATAGAGATAATTTGTTTGCAGATAGTGCGCTCTTATCTCCACACTAAAGTGCACCGAAGAGATGCTTTCCCTGCAGGGAAGCACTCACTTTGCTTTAGAAGAGGAGTGACTGCAGAAAAGCCTGCTGTCCCACCCTGTCTTCTTGCTGAGTCCATGTTCTGGGCTCATCCAAGCCAGCTGCTCTTGCAGAATGGCACCAGGTGATGCATGAATAACCTGAGTGATGCACTGATGGGAGGGCTGAAAGGAAATAAAGATAAAAAAAGGGTACTGAGCTATGGGGTACTGTGATTCCCACCCATCTACAGTTTTTCTTTTTCTTTATTACCTTATATTTAATTTCAGTCTCAGATGCTCCCATTTTGCTCCTGTCCATCCTTCTTTTTTCACAGGCTCAGACCCTTCCTTCCCCTGTTTTCCCACTTCCTCTCACCTAGAATGTGAGATTCTCTGTCCCTATTTTGTAGTCAGAGCTCCTCAAAAACCCTCAGACCTTGAGCAGAACAACATGGCACAAGACAGGAATCTTAGTATGAAAGTTCATGATTCATGGCAATAGGCTTGCTTAAATTCTGTTATTTCTCTCTGCCTTTCTGATGGGAAAGTAATAATCTCTGCATGCGAAGTGTCTTAGTGAGGATACAGAGCTCCCACAGTTTCAAATGCCTGTCTCTGTTAAAAGCACTTATGTGCTGCATTTGGTAAACTTATTAAATAAATAATAGATGGGAATAATTTGACATCAGCTAAAACCCACCAAGCTTTCAAAATTTCAGTTTCCCAGGTCCCTCCTAAGTACTTGCTCTCCTAGGAGAAATACCAAATGATATGGGAAGGTATTGGGTGTTGGTAAAGCTCCTGACCAGGACATCATAACTGGTCACCATATCCCAGCCCTGCCTCCACCTCAAATAATGAGTAAGAAAAAAAAAAATATATATATATATACATATACATTTATGATGTATAGGCCTTTCCAGTGTTTTGCATTTCAACTGACTTTTTAAATATCTATACCTTCAATTACATACATGGCTATTGTGATTGCTTTAGTGCTTTGATTCCTTTCTGGATACATCTGACCCCAAAGTCATAAACCAGCTGAAACTACAGCTGTGCTGGAATTGTGTTGCAAGATGTACAGGTAAGTAATACCTGGAAGTCCATATATCCTGCCCATGTAGATTATCTGTCCTTTTGCCATTTTCTAGGTTCTATACTTGTGCTTTGCTGTACCTTGTTGATTTTCCCTGTCTCTTCTGTTGCCACGATTGGTTCCTGTGATTGAGCATCTGCAACCCTCTGAATGGAAACATGTGCAAGGAACAGACACTGGGGATTTCTGCTAGAGAGATACTTCAAAAATTTTACAGAGGAAAAAGAACATGCCAGTGAAAACTAAACAAGCATTATTCCCCCCCATCCTTTCAACATATAAGACAGAAACTACCAGATATATCCTAGTAAAAAGTTAAATTATCATAGAGAAATGTTAGGAGTCCTTAAGAAACTAAAGCAAATTACTCTTCTGTCTGTCATTGCAGGTTCTATTTCCAGATATGTAGCAAGCTCTGGCTAATAGTAATGTGATTTCAAAAAGTACATTAATGTCAGGCTCAATTCCTCTTTTATGGACAGGCATTATTTCTGGGAATTAGCTGGAAAAGCAGGCATTTCTCATCTGATTATTGTTGAAAGGCATGATTAAACATCCCTTTTGGGTAGAACAGTAGACCTCTATAATAAGACATGGTAAATTATTAGCATCATCCAAAGATTTCTGAGGAAAATGAAGAATTTTTTTCCAGTTCTCAAAACAGGAGGACCTGCTGGATAGGAGCACACAGCACAGGCACTTCCACCATGAGAAGGAAGGTAAGAATTTGAAAGCAGGGGAAGCCTGGAGGACAAATCCTGTCACAGGAATCCACGTAGCATTCCTTAAACTTATTTTTTTAAGAGGTGCTTGGAATTATTTGTGAGGAGTGAGGCTGAGGAAAGCCCTGGGTGGAGGAGGGATGCTGTGCTGTGACTTCAGCCTGGAATCTCTTCTCAGCAGTGTTAGCAGGCAGCTGGTTAGAAACTGATATAGACACCATGAACCTGAAAATGCTTTTGAGCTTAAATTTGCCTCCAAGTCCAATTGGATTTGTTCAAAACTTCCACAACCCTTAGAACTTATTTGTACCACTGCATGCAATCCAGTGGTCAATGTGGCTTCCACAGAGAAAAGGGGATTTATCGTCCACCATCTACAAACTTCAGTGTTTCAGTCTGTGCTTAGTTCCAGCATTCAGGTCTTGTACTGTCTCACCAGCTTCTCTCATCATGAGCTAAAGAGTCTCTGACACTTCCATTATCTTCAGAGGCATTAAACCATCATCACATTATTCCTTTCAATTTGCTGCTGAAGCACAAACTTTGAGACTTCCCCTAGACAGCAGATATTTCAGTCACCCATTGGGGCATGAATTAATACATATACTATACCCCAGGACATGTATAACCAGCTCTACAAATCAGAAATTCAGTCTTATTGTCGCTTCAGTCCCAAAACAAGTCAATATTTGAGTCTGAAATTAATGGGGGGAAAATGTGAATTTTTGGAAATCTTCCAGCAGTCATGCAATGGAGAGTGTCTGTCAAAGGAATCTCCACAGGGAAATGAATGTAATTAAGGACCAAGGTAATAAACTGTCAAGAAATTTTAACTAGTTAGAAAAGCCTTATTTAAACCCTGAGTTCTCCCAGTGAGGTGAACAGGGAGTGTCATCTGCCTCTGAGCTGCTGCAGAAAGAATTTTAAGTACAAAAATTAATATTCTGCATAAATACCTCTGTATTTTCTGTTGCCTCTCCATATCCTACCATATTAAGAATAAATTAATAACATTTGTAGAGGACTCCTAGGCAGTTCTGGTTAGCACCCTGTCTATTGTTCAAAGAAATCCAAATTATTACAGGTGAAGTAGAATGTGTTCTACTTTCCCCAGTGCTAAACACTGCTCTGAATTGCTGCCTGCACTCTTGCAGCAATAATTAAAATTAAGAAATTAGATCAGATACCTCTGGACAGTCAGAGGGCCCAGAAGGCCCTACAACACTTTGCTAATGAAGAAAGAGCCTGAGGCTCTCTGTGGAAGGAGGTCACCCCATGAAAGGGTCCTGGTAGCAGAGCATGCTGTAATAAGAGATGTTTTTGTGGTTCCCTAATGGCTTTGCACAAAAATATAAATATCAATTTTATCAGACACAGTAAGGAGTTTGAGCTGGCAGAGGCCTTTTTCTCCAGTGCCCAAGAGTGCCATAATAAAGGAAATAGGGCAGTGGTTAAGTTCTGCCTGGGACTGTCCAGCAGTCAGGCAGCTGAAGGAGCAGAGGGAGGCACAAAAATTAAAATGGTCTTTAGGAGAAAAACATCTGTGAACAAATCCCATTTGCTTTGTTTATTTGCTGAACTGCATTAAACAGGTCAACATGGCTCTGGATTTTAAGAACTGCAGGGATCATGCCTGCATGAAGAGGATGATTTTACAGGAAACTGAGAAATAAGCTTGAGCCCAGAATAGAAAAATGGGGTGTTTGTCTGGGAAGGGAGCAGCTTTCCAGCCTAGAGAGCAATGAGACAAATTCAAACCCACTTGGAGCGTGCAGCTCCACACAATTGTTTAAGAACTGCTGGGGCTGAGGAAGGAATTTGAGCCCTTCACTTCCCCCTCTGCCCTCCTTCACTCCTTTCCCTATTATGCACATCTCGTCTTACTTTAGAACTGGAACACTCACTCTAATTGTGTTATGTCTATGCTGCATTGTCTGGCCTCATATTGTCTGCAGCTTTGACAAGCTTTAAAATTGCCTGATTGCAAAGTTCTAACTCAGATCCAAATTGTGCAGCGTTTGGGAAAGTGGGGTGGGGTGGGGGGGGAAATTGGTACTTCTTATTTGTCTCTCTGAAACAATTTAAAAGGCTTCCCCAAATATGCTAGAAGTTTTTCAAAGAGAACGGGATAAACCTTGTTTATCAGTAAAAAAAAACCCACTGTATGATTTTTACACTGCCATCACACAGGAGTTCTTTGCTTCTGCTGAAAGTGATGGGAGCAGCAGCATAAAAAAACAAGGGTCGGGGCCAGATCAGTGAGGGGATCTCAGCTGGGATTCAGGAGGAGAACCTGTACCAGGAGGGAGCTGGATTTGCAGGAACAAAAGGAAGAATACTCTGAAAAGCAAAAGGAAAAGACAAGGAAAAGATGGATGTGCCTGGGAGCAGTGGGATAAATGCCAGGTAGAGACTAAAGACAATAGTAGGAACTGAGAAGCTGCTAGCTTGGAAATAGGGTCACGGGAGAAAGGAGTTTTTGGGAAGACAATGCTCTGGAAAATGTGGGACTGGATGAAGGCTGGGAGTGTGGCAGCCAGGACCATGCAGAGAGTGACACACAAAGCCCCCATGTAAAAATAGATGGGTTTGGGGAACAGAAATAGAATTGATGCATGCATGAAAGATGAAGCCAGGCCAAAATGCACAGTTAAGGAATTCATAAAAGATTTTGCCAACCCAACGGGTTATAAATCTGAGGCTGAAAGAAAGTCTTTCTACATACTCAAAAGTCACATATGTGGCAAGAAAAAGTTTATTGTCAAATTAACCATGGAAACAGTCTCTGGAGCAGGAGTTCCTAAGTCTGCTGCTCAGTAAAGCCTTTCAACCATCTGAATTCCTTGTGGGTCACCATCTGAATCAAAAACATACTTTATCTGAAAATTAAATTATTTCCTAGACTATTTACCATTGCCTCATAGACCAATGGCTTGAGAATCAAACCATTTTTGGAGACATTTTTAGAGGGCACAAGACTGAAGGAAAAGGTGGCAGCAGGAGCTGGGCAGGAGCATCCCTATCTTGGGAGTTCTGCCAGGTGTCCCTGTGGTCTGTAAATTCTGTCTTTGTGTCCATTTTCACTGGACCTTCTTCTTCCAAAGCTTTGTCAGCCTCTGCCTGGGCTGAGATCGTTGAAGCATGTCCAGCCCTAAACCTTAACAAGGCAGTTCTACCCACAAGTATTCTGTATTTTTTAGCACCTGGGCATCACTTGCAGATTGCTGGAACTCTCTGTGTTTCACCAATTAAATTTCCACTCTTGTTGTTTAGGCTTGAAAGTCTCAACATCCTGTCTTAAGAAAATTTTACATGTTCAGCACCATTAGAGGAAAGTTAAGACAAGAAACATAGGAAAGGAAGATGAAAAGAGGACAATATTTTGATTTGAGAGACTGAGCTGATAGGAAAAAAAGACAAGGAATAAGGGATGAGGAAGGCTGAGTCTAAGTGAGAAAGAGGCAGAAAAACATCAAAATAAGGGAAGGCTGTCTCCAGAGGATATAGATGCCAACAAGCAAGACACTCTGACCTTCCACGTTTGGTAATGCAACATGTCAAATCTGGTTATTTATTCTCCTGGTTGCATTCTGTCTTTATATGGATATTTTATTGAAGATAACTGTACCAGTACAGGTTTTAAGTACTTGCAGAAAATCCAAGGTGGTTTTCTAAAATTTCCCCCTTAAAAATCTCCAAGCATTTGGATGTTTGGGGTAGTGTTATACTGAGAACAGTGCTGGGACTAGCAGCCCTGAGAGGGCTCTGCCTGGAAGAGAGGTTTGCCCTTGGTACATCTTCAGTGGGTTTTCTTTCCAGGTCTGTGCTTTTATTGAAGTTCCCTTCAGAGTGCCTACAGAAAACACAACTCAGAACAAAAAAGAAGAGTCCATTACAGAGAAGAGGCAAATAATTCCTTCCATATCACAGAAAATATTCATTAGGCTCTGGCACTGGGAAATCTGGTATTGCCCTGCAGTGCAGGTAGGAAATAATGAGCATGTACAAAATTAATGCTGTTAGATGTATACATTATTCCAGGTCAAATGGGTGTGAAAGGCACACCACTACTAATTTCTCATTATCCTACTGAATTTCTGATTCCTGTGCAGGACATGTGATGGGGATGAGCACAACACCAACAGAAGTGTGACCGTAGCTGGAATTGTCTTTTATCAGAATAACAGTCGTATTGTGGGGGAAATAAAATTATAGACAAAGCCATAGAGACTTTTAATGTATATGTTTGTCATGGCTGTATATTTGTGATTTTCATATAGGACATAAGGAATTGGGGTTGTTCAGGTCTGAACTTTTTCTTTCCTGCTGCCTTTTGAAGGTGTTCACCAAAATGAGTCATTTGTAGAAGAAATACCATGAATTCTGGATAGGAACACAAATACCAGTTCACTAAGGGATAGATACATGTACAAGGATGATTATTCTTTACGCAGTTTCCAGAAGTACAAAAAGTGGGAGCTTTAATTAGAACTAATGTTTTTTAATGAGGAACAAACTGAAGATCGCCATCATTAGAAGCTATAAATTAATGGAAGCATCAATTTCCTCAATACAAAGGAAACCCTACCAGAACATCCTGGCTAGAAAATACATGGACAATTTTTCTGACTGAATATAAAGTTTTCCTTGCTTGTATTCATAAATCAAACTGAAAGCCCAGGCAATTTCATTAAGAACATAACTGCTGATGTGAAGAGTCCATGAAACTACTGACAGCACAAAAACATAGGGTGAAATCCTGTTTGGATTAAATTAATCAACTTACTCTACAACAAAAAAATCCCAACCCATTTGGCAAGACAAATGCATGGGTTAAATCTCACTGAGGGAGAAGCATGGCTTCATACAAAAAAACTTCTTCAAAATCCATAACAAGAGCAAGAATTCAGGTTGATGTTCAGCACTTCAGTTCTGCTGGCTATTCAGTACATTTGCCAGAAGAGTTCTAATTCCAAATAAATTAACATAATATAGGTTTTGCCTGCAAAGGAAAGTGACAGTGGTTTCAGTTGTATTTTTTTCTTTTAGATCAATATCACTAAACATCAAGCAAATCCATGTATGGACACAGCTAAATTGATTTACAACTAGCTTATGTTGGTCTAGCTTAATTAAAAGGGTGGAGTTTTATATGGCAGCTACATTAAGTGCATCTGCACAAGACTGAGATTGTTCATTTAAACTGACTGAAAATAAGGCTTCAGTTAAGCCACTTTTGCAACACTTTAAATAGCAGGTTAGCTTTTACTAAGTAAATACTCACTGAAAATGTTGACACTTTTCAGAAAACAGGAGATTCAAACCAATTTGAGTTCAATTTTAAGGAACAGACATGAGGCTTTCTATTTGTACAAAACCACCAAGAATTGACTCAGGTGCTGACCTGAAAATTTTATTTTTCGACTCATAATTGCATGATAAAATGAACCATACTTTTAAAGGTATTTGATAAATTTAATCTTTCATGAATCCTCTTTTTCTTTTTTGTCTTTATCAACTTAATTTTTACATGCACTTTCAACATTATCCATTGCCACAATGTCTGTTTGCTCATACTTAGAAAAGATATATTAAATATTCCAGCAGTGTTGATCATCTGAACCTGTGAAGGACATATAAAACCCACAAGTGCTGATTATCAGGAAGATTTCTTGCAGTGCACAGAAGAGAAAAAAAAAATGAGTTTTTGAGATTTTGGTAAGAAACTGAATAACTTCCCTTATAGGGATGTTCAAGTCATGCTTCAAGATCCAGTGGTTCCAGAGGGACCAGGATTTCACCCTGAACCTTCTCTGTGCTTAGTTTAATGATCAGTGTGCCATCAGTGACAAATTTGACTTGTTTGGTGAAAGCAGAATCATGGTACAACAATTTCTCTGTGTATTAGCTTTAATAATAGAAAGTTGTTGTCACCTCCCTGTCACGAACAGTGAAAAAAGGCCACCAACCTGCAGTCATTTTATGGGTGAAAATGGTCTTCATTTTGATGGTGTTCTTCATAATTCCACTTGGCACTTTAGACATGAGGGGTAGGGGGCTTTATCTGGGAATCCAGAATGTTCATGTTCTTAGGTAATACTGGATTCCTTTTGGTGGTAATTTTAAGGCGTCATATAATCTCATTTTTCTTGTTTCTTAAAACCCAAAATGTTTTAATGTAATGCATGTCAGGAGGCAAAACATTTTGATAGCCTCGGAGATAAGTCATCTTTCATAGTCATGATTAAATGATACTTGAAAAGGGGCTGACCTTTGAGACAAGGCAATTTCCAGTTATAAAAGGGAAATTTTAACAAGATGCCCTAGTGAGGCCCCTTCCAGCACTTTTGTGGAGAAGGCTCCTCATATCATTTTCAGTCCCTCAAGGTAAACCACTTGTGCACTAAAGAGGCTGATGCAGAGCAGGTTTGAGCTGCCAGCCATGGCACAGTGCTGTGCCTGCCCCTTCGTGGGTCTTGGATGACCTCAGGGGTGCTCAGACTCCACATCCAAACAGAAAAAGAACAACATACTTGATGTCTGCTCAACAGAAAAAACGTCTGTGAACAGTAAAGTGTTGCATGGAGCCTGCCTAATACAGATAAGAAACTAAATGCTAGATGGGAAGGCTACAGTGAAAAAAAAAAAACTGACAAAAAAGAGAGGGAAAGCAAAACTAACAAGAGCAGAGTATGTCAGATTTCTGTCAATCTTCTGTGGAGTATAAGGTTGTAAGTATATCAAACCCCAAAATAATAAAATGTAATTCCTGATTCCATTGAAGTTGATGATAAAACTCCCACTAACCTGAACAAAAGTGGAATTTCTCTCACAGTGTACTTGTCACTGTGCAATGTGCTGGTCACTATTATATTCTGCTGTAGTCACCAATAAAATGTGATTGAGCCTGGGATTATTTTGCTGCTCCCCTTCTTACTTTCACTGGTTTCCAGAGGTGTGGTTCCACTTCCCAGAGCAGCACACATATTTAATTTTTTTCAGACTAAGGCAGTAAAGATATCCTGGAAAATCAAAAGACACAATAATTTCTGGCTTAATATTATACACTATTTTCCAGACTTTAGCTGAGAATAGTTTCAGGATGTGGCTGACTATAAACACAGTAAAACCAAACAAAATAAAAGAGTAACTTTAGAGTAGCCATTTCTATCTGTGGCCTACAAACTGCTATAACACTATGAAATATTTCTAAAAGCCTAGAAAAGGCAATGAAATAAAGCATTTCTTTTGCCAGTCAATGAAATTCACTCTGCCAACACCTGCAATGAGAGTTTTTGAGAATCAAAAAATTCAAAGATATTGAAAAATCAAATGTGTTAAAACAGCGATATTGCTAAACTTGATAACAAGGTGTCATAATTGGATGTAGAAAATGAGAATGATCAATATTTATGCAAAATACTGCTTATAACAAAACCAAAGAAAGAGTAGCAAAGCATTTTAACAAGGGTCTAGGATTTGGATGAAAACCTATTAATTCAAGGTACCTTCCTCAGGGTGAAATTCATGTACTTTTGATAGACTGGAAACATGCATATGAATGGATTCTTTGGGGTTACTAAGACTGACTAGCAAGACTGCTTCCTTAAGGAAAAGAGGGTTTTTTAGACATAGCTTTTGAGTACTTGTTTATCTTACCTTTTCACCAGTAGCTTCTGAGGAGTCCAAGTTCAGCAAAACTTGACCAATAACTAAGTTCCTACAAGTTTTTTAAGCACAGTGAGGAAAAAAGAAGAAGAGAGTATGAACCTCTTGGCAAGGGAGAGAAGCTGCAGTGTGACTTTTACTTTGCTTGATGACAGAGGATTGACACAGAAAGCAAACCCACTAAGTGCCATTGTCTTCAGTCAGACCTCAAAACCACTGCAGGACACTAAGCCATAAAAGAATGTCGTTTTTATTACCTCTGGCAGCCCTAGAATTATTTGGTCTGAGAATAGATACGACAATGGATTCCATTAAATATTAGAAGTTTTGCTGCTGTCTCAAGGGTAATCAGCACCTGAACCTTCCACACAGAGGGCAAACTCTGCAGGGTACATGCCTCATAAAGAGTAGATGATGGAGCTCAAAATTCTTGATCTGTAATCAGGCTGGAGTGACAAGAGTACACAGCCTTGCATTTTTAATGATTGTAAGACTTGATTTACCAAAGGTTGCAAGTCCCCCAATAGCCTTGGCTTTGATTGGGATGCCAGGCTGAAAAAATCTGTGATAATATTGGAAAATCTCAGGCTCAGTTCTGGGAAGAATAACTGTAGTGACTGAATAGGTGTTCACCCTGCTTCAGCCTTGTGGGATGTCAAGATATATGTTAACTTACTACAATAGTACCTTAAAATTATAAAGGCAATCAGCTCATCTCAAGTAGGAGTGATCAGTTTAAACATCTGCAATGATTGGATGTTAACAGAATAAACTGGTCTTACTGTGGAAATTTTCGGCTGGGAATAATTTTTAAGCAGCTGGAGTTAAATGATAAAAATGAAATTGCTAAATTATTTTTGTTTGGTGAGCTCGCTTGGACTGGGGGATCAGAGAGCTAAATTTTCTGAGCATTTCTGCTGAACCTGAGGCATCCTGTGGCAGAAGTGCCTGGTGGCAGAGCTGATGCTGGGGCCCAGTGATGTTGCTTAGCAACTTCCCAGGGATGGCTCTGACAATTAACTCTCTTGTGTGTCGGGTGTGTGCTGAGCACAGGGAAAAACACAGCAATCAGCCCTCCAGAAGAGACCCCAGGAAAGCTGTGTGTGCCCATCTGCAGCAGGACTCCAGCCAAAGGAGCCCTTGTGCTGTAGTTGTTTCTTAAGCAGCAGCTTTTTTGGATGCCCTCATTCCTTCCACACAAAAT